TGTGCTTTTTCACAGTAAATCAACAGTTTAATGCTGCATTACCGTCCTGTAGTATTCATCTTCTTTTCTTGATTTCTGGGTAAATATTCTCTGTGTGGAGCGGGATGTGGTCGACTGTCAGTGTATGAAGTGAAGCTCTGATCACAAATTGGTCTCAATACACAGTCAAAAGGATCAGAGAACATACGAAGGGAAGAAATGGGACGCAGCTTAAGTCTTCTGAAGCTATGATGACTGATAAAAGCTTCAGTTTGTCACTACAAGTCACAGGATATTTATAGTATTTGATTAGCACTACTTTGTTTTTGAAGTCAAAGTATGCGCCAAAACAAAACTGCACTTTGTCAATTTCATGTTAAAGAAACAATGCTGAAAACAGCTCGCACATAAAGAAAAAAAATGAGAAAATTACATGAAGGCGCTTACATAACACTGAAATACAAATAACTATGGGTGCCTGAGTGGCTTAGTTTACTCTGACAGGATTGTGAGATTAACAACATGACTGTACTTCTCAAGACCACAGAGACACCTCCATAGCTCAAATGAAGGAGGGAGCCTGTATGCTAGAAACACACAGCCTGATGTTATTATTTAAAGGTGGCAGGTGGACTTGGGTCATATTGCTACTTGAAACTGATTAAATTACTTCTCAATAATCTATCCTGCCTTCTTCAAAACGGCACACTGCACCCATCTTGCACACACACAAAAAAAAAGAAGAAATTAAACATAAAAGTAACTGAAATTATTCTAATGAACAACTGACCCAAGTCTGGTTGCTTGTGGTAAACTCAGGGCCTTGTGGCTCTCTCATGGAGACCAGAACCCGAGGATTTATTTAGCTGCCAAAGCCAAAGATGCCCTTGATGTAGCCGGTGAGACCGCCCTTGCCCTTCTGTTCCACCTTGTCATCCAGGGGTGGGAAGGCCACGTGGTTGAGAGCAAGGTCAAAGAACAGGGGCTTGCAGGGGATTGGCTGGAAATCAGGAGGGAACTGAACCAGATTGGGCTGTTTTCCTACGAGGGTGGGGTCGAGGCGGAAAGTCTCCAGGCGGTTGCAGAGTGGCTGCGTGAAAGAGGAAGAAGTTAAAAAGTGAGTATCAGCTCTGAGTCTACAATAAATTTCCCCTTGAGGGTTAACTTTTATCATATTGGTGTGGCGTGTCTCTTGATTTTGTCCTCTTACCGTGTTGTCTTTCACCTGTTGCTGAGAGGGAACTTCAGCAGTCTCATCAGTGTCTGAAACACAAACATTGCCTCAGGGTTGTACACAGAGTGAGGCAGAACAGAACAGGACTAAATAAATAAGCTGACTAAACCTTCAGTTCCAAAAGGTGCTCTCACCTAAAATGGCAGCAGCTTGAAGGGAGTATTTTTCAGCGTTGACCTCAGCAATGAGCTCCTGAACGTCAGGGAGATCCTGCAGCAACCAGAGAAACGACAGTGAAGTTTCTGGTCGAGAACAGATGTTGGTGAACTGTCACTGTTCCTTTATGTGTGGTGTGTTTATGTCAACAGGTGTGTACGGAGACCTTTTCAAGATGGATTGGAAATTAAATTATGTGCTATTGAGAAATTCCCAGCCCTAATGTGTGTGCCTGTCAACGTGTGCACTCATGAGAGAAAGAAAAATGCATGCTGGGTAGTCTCATTTTTAAATCGTGGCATTTGTGTGTTTTTAAATGACAAACCTTGAGGCTGTTGTTGAAGCTCTTGGCCTTAGACTGGACCTCCTTGGCGTATTTCAGAACCCTCTCATACAGCACCAGCGCCTCGCTCCACTTCTTCACCAGCACATACGACTGGGCTATGAAGAAACATCTGAGAGGGGAACGGAGGAAAGACCCACATCAACAACACATGAGTATGTATTCATGTATAGAAAGTATATGTATGGAACAATATACACAAGGGTTTTATTATTTGAAGTAAGATGAAAAGGGACAATTTTTCAGCTGAACATTTGAATCGTAGTCATATTTTTGATTATGGTGCAGGTAAAGCATTCAAACCAAAAATGTCTGACCTATAGGCCTTGTAGACCAGGGTCTTGAGGGACACCTCCTTCTGGAAGGTGTGGTCATCCTCCAGACCCTGCAGGGTTGAGAGCTCAGCCAGGCTCTGGAGAGACGGACAAACAAGTTTACGGAGGTGAGATAGATAGAAAGATAGTGAGTTACAATGTGAGAAGGAACTGACAGAGACTAACAAACAAGACTAAGTACACATTCCTTCACTGTTAACAACACAGATCAAACAACTCATCACACACAGAAACTGGCAATGAAAAACCAATTGTTGACCATACTAACTGAAATACAGGCTGCTATTATGAACTGTGAGAAAATAAAGCAGTGACTTTATTATTTTATCATGAGATTAAAAAGTACACATTTCTAACTTTATTTTTTAAACTTCTTCATAGATACAGAACCTCATTATAGGGCTGCTCCCTAATAGTCCACTTAACCATCAGTCGCTAAGAAGAGTCTTAGTCCACACACTTGTGCAGACAAACAAAAACAGCGTCAAACTCAGTTTGATCGGGATGAAAGTATCAGGGGATTGTTGCAACACAGACCTTTTCTCTTGTAACACAGGGAGTCACTTACTGGCTTGCTGTTGCATGCTAACTGTAGTAGCTGCTGCCACTAGCTAGATAGCGGTCTTATTAGTCTGTACCCAGACTGGGAGCTTAAAGGACAGGGTGAGTTACTTAACGGGAAAATACAGCGGTTTCAGGCAGCGACAGGATAGGCATTAATTTGTAAGTAACTGTGAACATTATATATCATCCATCGTATCGATAAGTTTGTAAGTGTTTGTTCCAGTGAAGTTGGAAGTTAACTATTCCATGTTTTGAACAATGAGACTTGTGTGATGTTACACTGTTAAAATAAATGTTCAGTCTCCTTTCTGGTTGCTCTGACACAGAATCGATACCACTTTTTTTATTATCATTTAACAGGCGGCTGCTGAAATCTATACATTTAAATAATTAATATCATGCTACAACTAGGAAAATATTTAGTAGGGAGGAGACCTATTAAAAAGATCACAATGTGTTTGACATCTGGACATTTACCTGCAGGATGATGTCATAGAGGCGGATGAGGTCCTGTGGACGGGGTCCTCTCTTGTTCTCGTCGGCTTCGGGTTCCTTCAGTTTAGCCTGCAGAGTATGGGCCATGCTCTCATTCCTCTTCACCAGCGTACACAGCTTGATGTAGGTCAGGTAACTGGGAGAGGAGACCAGCCGCACATTTATTATTCACTAATCGAAGGGATAAACGTAAGCAACAAAACTGGATATGTTACTGTATCACAGACTACATTACTTGTATTCTCTATTTTTGGGAATTATCATTTTTGCATCACAAACTTAATTTTCACTCAAAAAAATATTCAAATAATTGATACATTTTTGGGGTCTGTACCAAATAAATCTGGAGAAAGTTTTGTTGGCCAGGTAATCTCTGCAGCACTAAAATACTTTTATCGTTTGTCCAACATTTTACCTTTATAAAAATATTGCGATTGGCCATATTGTGTTTTTGATAATATTTCAATTAAATTGTGCAGCCCTAGTTTACAAAACAAGGAATCTGGAAAGGCCACTTTTCAAAGCATACTTTGATCTTTTATCTCTGATTTTACAGACACAACGATTAATTGAGAAAACAACTGGCAGATAAATCAATGATGAATTGTTAGTTGCAGCTGCAGACTATGATTGCCTGGCCTTGACAAGCACATGTAAATGTCTTGACTGAACTCTGTTTGTAGTGTACCTGTGCAAGAACTGCAGGTTGGACACCTTTCCACTGTCAGCATCAGAGCCCCTGTCTCGTTGCTTCTGCAAAGAAAAGCAATATTTAGAAAAAAATAAAGTTTTTTACATTCTCGTTTTAAGGTCACGTGTTGCAACTGTTAGAAACCTGTAACTCCAACTAATGACTTGGTCCCATTGGCAACCATCTAGACCATAAATAAAAACTCTGTGACGTTCTGGTGTGTCTTACCGCCTCACTCTTGAGTTCCTCTCTCACAGCCTGGATGGTGTCTCTGCACTCTGCCAGCAGGGTCTCATACAGATGCTCTTTGGTCTCCTCGTTGGATGCCTGTACAAAAGGAACATTAATGATTATCTATAGTGAACTATGATGACAATTTCTAAAGGCAACATTTAAAGTCCCAAATTTAAAATCTATAAACCGGATTAGGATCATTATAAACAAGTATATAATATATATCATAAGTGGAGTCGTTCATGCTCCTGTTTTTCAGGGGAGTGGGTGGGTGACGTTGCAGTTTGTGATTGCTTTAACGCACTTTAGAAACATTACTTGGAGAAAAGAGTTTTTATTACATGTTTAACAAAATATTTATTTCACATTCAAATGCTCTTCAAACAAACCAAAACTACAACAGAACACTGTATGTCTGTATCAGTGCTGATAATAATCCACATATGGTTTAATAAAATTCATGGTACAACTAATACTCTATTTGGAGCCCAGGTGCTACTGTAGTACAGATTAATAAAAAAAGATATTAGAATTGCATTACCCAGAATCTTTTACCTCACCTTTAAGGAAGAAAACGAAACCATGAAACTATGTCAAAATGTTTCACGCCAAGAGGAATTTGAGAAGGGATGATTTGAGTTTAAAGGGCTCTGTGTAAACTTGAGGAGGGAACATTTAAGATCTGTAGCCTGTAGAAATGTACAGGCTCCAGTGTTGTCCCCTATATTGAGTGGATACACCAAATATATATCTTAAAAAGGAAAAAGAGTAAACAAAGAAAATGTAGACACATTGGCCTTTGAACTCACATAACAACAGTCACGTTCCACCTGATTAAAGCTACACCTGCACTAATAAAAACCAATCATGCAAACACAAATATTTCAACAGTTCAAAAGTTGCAGAAGTTTGACACAAAGAGTAACAGTTTAAGCAGGTATGTAACTGTGGCTAACTGGGGGAGAGACGCAGGTATGTCGCCGGGCAGGCTGCTAATGCATTCCTTCACACACACAACTCATCAGCAATCAGACACTCTGGAGTTTCAGGGCTCAAATCTTTGTGAATGACAGGATTGTTCCTCACCTCATCATTCTTTCATCGACACTCTCACACAATAGGGCTGGTTACTTAATACACTCAGGCAGCCACAGCACACATCATGTTCAGTTCAGATTGCAGTAAATGGGAATGTAAGTAATAAAAGTGATTAACGCCTAATGAATGTTGATACATTACGTTAACTTGTTCTCTGTATTTGACTCATCCTACGTGTTAGGAGCAGGGGGCAGCCACTGTACAGAGAATTATCCTGACATGCATGATTTTGATTGTGTAGTTTCCTCCAGGTTTACCGGTGTCCCCCACCGACACTGGGAAAACATGCAAACTCCACATGCAAAGGCTCGGTCCCAGCCAGGATTGGATCCCAGGACCTTCTTGCTGTGCGGCAACAGTGCTAACCATGAGGTGACTGAACAGTATGATATTAGGGCTGGGTATTGTTAAGAACCTCACAATTCGATTCGATATTGATTTAAATGCTTCGATATCAATTCAGTAATAAGTAAATTACACAAATAATTCATTAGAGTACCTGTTGATAATTTTAAAAGGTTTGGGACGGCGACTTCCGTCATGTGTTTGCGTGTTGGTATGGCGTAACGTGGTTCCAGTGTGGATACCATCTTCTTACAACCCCTGCTTTCCACGACACTGTACGGTCATAGGTCCTTACATATGACGACGGCCACAGACTCCGTTATCTTCTGTGCACGGGCAGAATTTGGCAGCAGTTTGCAAAATCTGTTGAGTTGCGTCTGTTTCGAATCCACAGGCTGGTTTAACACTGCTGCTAACTGCTTCGGTTGCCATGTTGTTGTTGTGTGGTCGAGTGCGGCCTCTGTCCGTACAACGCAAATCACACACAGATGTTGCTCACTGTGCCCCCATTGGTCAGAGGCTTGAATCGATTCAGAGGATTTAATGAATCGATATTGAATTGGGAAAAAATATATTGCAATGCACTGATGAATCGATATTTTTACCCACCCATATATGATATAGTATCATTTTTGTTTTAAACTTATGTTTAAGTCTTTAAACACTGTTGTGAATGATATTATTGTCACATGTTCACCTTTCAAGAGCCGAAAAACTCTTAGGAAGCGACACAGTGGAAGAATGTTACGAGAAAATTCCTCGCCGTGATGAGGCTGCTCTCGTACACCCACAGCGCTGATGATATTTAGTGCCATACACTCATGCCAACACCCTGGCAACGCCTAGCAAGACTGGCTCAACCTGTCGAGCCTCTTTTGGTTGTTCAGAGGGAGGGCTAGATGGATAAACCATGAGAAGAGTCGTTGTTAATGGAGCTCCTCTGCTGGGACTGAAGTATGGCCCAAAAGAACATTTCCTGTCCCCAGAGGCAAAGAGTTGGGGACCAGGTGCAACACACAGGGAAGCTCAAGGTGCGACATACTCTAACTTTCTATTGAGTAATCAAAAGAGAAGTGGCACCTTGTTAATTTTGTAATATTTACTCCATCACTCGCCAATATAGTTGATGACAATGTCATTTTATTATGCAGGCCTTACAATATTAAGAAAAAACAACTGATGATTATTGTCAGCTTCAATGTGGCTTCCCACCATTGACAGTACATATTATGGACAGAGCTTCTGGGTCTGAAAAGTGAAGCAGATGCTGAAGTGTCTTAAAACCTGCATTCAATGTAAAGGCCAGCAGGGGGCGCTCCATTGGCTGCAATAACACAGCAATCCCATTCACTTTAATGGAGAATGAGCAAACTTCTCACTTCACTTATGAGCTCAGTAAACAGTTTCCTGTTGACTTTAGGGTCTTAGTCGCTAGTTTAACATCTTCAACACATTATGATGTTAATTTAGTAAATTATGATCTAATTTAGAGTAAAATAGCCACGCCCTAACACATACGTGGCTACCATGACTTCGACAGGTCACTCTCAGTGAGTCTGTCTAGCGCAGTGCACAAAACTCAGATCAAACTGTCAAACTAGGCAGTGCTGATCAGATATGAAGCTAGATTCTGTTACTGCGTTGACTATTTCTCACTTAAAATCTTGTCACAAACATATATCAGTGTGCTGTTTATCTGTAATACGAGATTTTGTGTGACCAGGCAAGCCGCCACTGTTTCCTGCAAGGGATGAGTTACTCCAAAAACCGATGGGTGACGTCACGATATATTCACGCTTGCTTCCCACATAGGCAGTCATCAAGACTGTTAGCTTAACAATGGAGTGTAACACTACAGTTGAGTCCTGAATGGATCCATTTGAAACTGAAAGGTGTTTAGAGATAATAATACTAATCTGTCCACAGAGACCTGCTGGGTGTAGTCCTGTATTCATGTGTGGGCTGAAATGCCCAGAATGCAGTCGTGCGATGATAGAGGCAGCATGCCAGAGACCTGAGTGGCTGTGGGTGTGATAGGTGTGTCTATAGGGTGTGCTGAGCCTTTGTGCGAAAGAAAGGAGGAGTGGTGGAGCTGTGGTGGTCAAGAGGAGATATGCGACACTGTAAAGATGAGTGCGCCACCTACTGCAAGTTTAAGGAGCTGCATGGACACTTGCTCTGCTCAAAGTAGGACTTCATTTAATTAAATCAAATAATTTAAAGCCATGTCACTCTTGCTGAGTGTAATTGACCTTAAGAGCAGAAGGGAATGCACACTGGGAGAGTAGTTATGGACATCGGGTAGCACATGTCATTATGAGGAATCAGGGTCTTAACCACTTTAAAATAGTACTATATTTACAAACATCCCGTTCAAATCGGACATTCGAGCACAGTGACAAAGTCGTCATTGTGCATTTTCTGATTGAGCACAACAAAGAAAATACTGCCATCAGTGCTGGAGTAGATCTATGATTTGTAATGGTCGCATTGGTTTGCCTTCTGATGTGACATGAGCTGATGACTGTGGCTAAATAGGTAAGAATGAAGCTTTGTGAATTGTGTGGCAAAAATAAAATAATTAATTGACAGTAAAGGCATACAGGAAATGTGAGGAGAGAATGACTGACACGCAACAACGGTCTCCAGCTGGACTCTGGAAACTGGGAAGGTTGCGTTTACATCAGTGTTTAGGCACAGAGAGTGGAAGCTTTAATGGTTCTGTATGCCATCTGTAGAGGCTGACGTACAAATGTCTGCTGGTGCGTTTGGTCCACACAATCGTACATTTTGGGCAGCATACAGACATGGGCACAAATTTACATCAGCCATGTGTTTTATTATATTATATATTAAGATCTGCTTTCTTTTTAAGGGCTTTGGAGGGGGTGTGACATGCAACAAAGGGCCATGAGTTGGAATTGAACCTGGGCTGTGAGGACTGAGCTCTGATAAATAGCTACCAGGGTGCCTCAAGCAGTTTGTTTTTACACCATACAAAAAGGAGAAACTAAGAACTACTGACCTGAGCGATCGCAGCCTCATTGTCTGCCAGACCCAACAGGAAAATGCGGGCCTTGTCGATCTTGACGGGCACCGTCCGCCCTCGCCACTCCACCTCACTCATGGTGGCTGCCTGCCTGGTCCTTGCCTGAGTGATCAGGGCCTGAGGAGAGAAGAAATAAAAAACTTGATCCACAAGAGCAAAGATGTCTTTGATTTCACTCAATCATGCTTTAAATTCTCTTCATATTTACACACAAATATGCTCTGCGTACTTTTTGAAAACAAATTTTAGGAGTGTCCCATCCCTAATATGACCTTAGCCATCACCACCAATAAATGAAAAGTGACTGATGACACAATAATCCAATGTCCAACTGCTGTATGTTCACCTCTAGTTTCTCAGCCATCATGCCTCCTCCTCCACCAGTCAGTCTCATCTGCATCAAGTCATTGATGGCGTTCTGGTCACCTGCAATCAGACGGGAAAAGAAGTTACAAGTGTGTTCACTTGTAATGGAAATGTGCAGTTTGTGAACAAACCCCCTCCCATGTGTATGTGTTACTCACCTATGTTGTATGCACAGTAGCGGATGTTGGGTGAAATCTCATCCACACGCTGGCGATACAGAACTGCCAGTTCCTCAGTGAACGCACTGGCCAGCTTCTCATAGATGGTCCTGATAAAACAAAAATGGGGTTGTTTTATAATTACCAGCAGTCATACAAATGCATACATGATAACAACACATCCAATTACTGCACTGTGCCAATGTATCAGGAAACTGTAGTGATGTTCAAACGCACTTGCACTTGTTGAAAGCCTCCATGGCACGCTTCCACTCCTGCAGCTCAAACTCCACCATACCAGTCAGGTATGCAGTGTAGGCCTGAAATAAAGTACAGTAGTATTATTTGTGGCTGCTGTAAGAACACTTAATAATAAATTCTATGCATCAACACAATGTGCAAATTTGCCACATACAGAGTAAAAAGTGGTACAGAGCTGGTTGAGTATACGTTTGGGCCTTTGACTCTCATAGTACATGTATACCCCTTATTCTATATCAGGTTAAAGGTGTCTCCGTTCTGTGTACCTGCGCCTCAAGTTTGGTCTTGGCGTCGACGCGGGGGCTCTCGCAGAGCTTCTCCAGCTTCTCGCTGTGCTTGGCAGCCTTGCGCAGTCGTGCCATCAGGTGGAAACGCTTACGTGGCTCTGTATTGGCCTCCTGCTTCAGCTGCATGGCGTAACTCCACGCTCGCTCTGCCTCCATCAAAACCAGCAACAGATACCTGAGAAAGAGAGCTTGTTGCATCAGTTGTTTAGAATATTTTACACAATTGTTACCACTATTTTGTACCCAGCTGATCAGGGCTGGTTTTGTTTTATGTGGTGTTTTTTTTATTTCTTGGGGGGCTTTTATTGCCTTTATTGATAGTAACAGCTGAAGATAGACAGGAAAGGGGGAAAGAGAGAGGGGATGACACGCAGCAAAGGGCCGCAGGTCGGATTCAAACCGTTATGTGGTGTTTAATGTAAAGTAAAATTGTGGCGCCTTTTTGTAGTTTGGTGGCGTTTTAAGCTAGTATCTTTAGGCTAACAGGACTGCTATATTAGCTCATTTGAGGCAACTCTGTCGGTCTTAAGGAGCAGTTATCACAATGGAGCTAGCACAGTATCAATAAATGCAGCATTTGTGTATTTACAGTATCCACAACATACAATATTAAAGCTGCATATGTGAGACAAAAAATACTGTTTAAAAATGTATTTTGTTAAATCTAGTTACTAATAGCACTCTATCAGAGATTGTCACTAAGCTAAAAAGGTGTTAAAAGGTGATATTTCATGACTATAAATTGTGATTGATTTTCAATCAGGTTAAAATTACATGATTTTAGTTTAATTAAATATGGTAAGGTTATAGTACAATAAGCCTGTCTGTTTCTATCTGTAGCTCTTACACATTATGAACCATCAATTAAAGAGTAGACTATCATTCAGCCGGGGATGAATATATTCACTGCAAGGTCTGGGCCGATTCTTTGGTTTTCTTTGTACCAAACCTCATGCAGACTCTTGTCTTATGTCGATAACAATACACCACTACATTTTGGGAGGAAGAAGGAAATCTTAACATCTGATTATCCCGCTTCAAACATGCTCCGAACATGAATATCCAGCTCAGACAATCGATTCCTCACCTGCTGTCAGAAACAATTTCAACAGTTATCTTCTTCCCAATGTACTTGTGTCGGTTGCCCATCTTGAAGCCAAGAGTCTTGCGCAGGCGACGCAGTCTGCGGGAGCAGTAGCCCCTGGACACAGTTACACAAAGATGGTTACATTACATAGATTAATAATGAGTACAGGTACATTTTCATCTTGGTTTCTCACAGCAGACATTAGCACACAGTCAAGTCATTTTCACCAATCTAGTTGCAGTGTTTTCTTTGGAGAACTATTATCATAAATCATCTAAGGAACATCTGCTATTCTGCTTCTAGATTTGTTTTTGGAGCCACTTTGAGACATATTTATTACGAGTGACAATGATCAGTGTAAAATACATTTAGTGGCCACTGTTTTTTAAAATGTACAGCCCTACAATCTAAAGCAGATTTTGTCCACACTGTCAGAGAGGTGTTAATTCAAGTACGTGTATATTACTGAGGCTGTAGTTACTGGTGGTGATATATATATATATATATATATTTATTGAGAGGTTTATAATATTCTGCCCCCCTCTTGTATGTAAATACAGCAGACATTACCTTATATGGTAGGAAGGTAGCATTCATGAAACAGACTGTACAGGTGTGTCTAATAAAGTATTGTACCCCAGCCCAGTCTTATGTGAACCCTATGGCAGCATTGGTTACCTGTATCTCTGGTAGTCTCCATGTCTGAGGCCATGTTGCTGCTGGGACTCCTTGATTATTTGCAGAACTGTAATTGAAGGTTAAGGCACAATCTGATGTACAGGAGAACATCTGTCATTAACATCCAGGTGCTCACAACCTGATGTACAGGAGAACATCTGTCATTAACATCCAGCTGCTCACAATCTGATGTACAGGAGAACATCTGTCATTAACATCCAGGTGCTCACAACCTGATGTACAGGAGAACATCTGTCATTAACATCCAGCTGCTCACAACCTGATGTACAGGAGAACATCTGTCATTAACATCACCAGGTGCTCACAACCTGATGTAAGGCATCTGTCATTAACATCCAGCTGCTCACAACCTGATGTACAGGAGAACATCTGTCATTAACATCCAGCTGCTCACAACCTGATGTACAGGAGAACATCTGTCATTAACATCCAGCTGTCACTGTGTCAGTGTTGTGTTAGCAGTCGATGTCTGACTGCAGTGACTGCTGCTGACAACAGAACAAACCATCACGTTTATAAAACCACACATTAACGAACATTATTAGTTGATAGATAAATGAGTTTCCCACTGACAGCCTGCCCCGCTGTGACACGTCGCCTAACGACGCTAGCTAACGTTAGCCTCCAACCGGGCTAGCTGCGGAGCTAACGTTAGCCCCGGAGCCTCGCGCACATCCGTTGGAGCACAAACATAACCGCCGGTACACATCTCGCGCTGTGAAGGATACTTTCCAGTCCAATGTTTCCATCCGGTGAATTCTTCTTGTTTTCGTCCATGGAGGAAACTTTTGTTTCGTTTTGCTTGTCTGCGGCCATCTCTAAATGCTAACAGCTAAGCGGCACACACACACACGCACACACACGCGCATGCTCAGTCAGAAGTAGAACCAGTGACGACAGGGTGGGAGGGGCAACGCTACACACAAATCTCGCGAGACTTGGTGTGTATCAATATATTGCAAACCTTTGAAGGTCCTCATGAGCAACTTAAAATTCAATACATAATGGCATAAAAAGTGTATAATATATATATATATAATATCACAGATATTACTGAGGAACTATCTGCCGAGTTCTAGTGGGATTACAAATGCATATTTTACTTAAGTCCCTGTTGTTCACAGTTTGGCCATATTTATTTAGCCATATGATCAAAAGCTCTAGATCAGCATCAGCTACAACTGGACTCTGAGGTGAGATTGTCTTCCAGAGTCAATATTAATCTTTGAACCTCAGTATTGACTCACTCACTCATTCACTAAGTGTCATCAGTAGTCAACTAATTCACAACAGCTGAAATGGAGCAAAATAACTATTTTTGCTGAATAAATAAATAAAATATCAAAGAGACATTCTGTATATTTTATTAGAAAGTGAGTCACAGCAAACATTTATCCAAGTCCTCCTGCAATGTAAATACAACTCTGTTCAATTCAACCCAGATCAGATGCAGTAAAAACACGAGGATGAGCCATCCACCGAGGAAGTACCGAGAGGAGGTATTAGAATGAGTTACATACAATTTGACACTGAGCACATCCCCTTCACAAATTTTGACCAGTGACAAAAATAGTTCCTTTTAGTTTCACAAGTACAGACTCTATTCAGACGTTGTCGGCAGCAGAAATGTATCTGGAGACAAAGTTCTTGAGCTCAGAGATGTGCATGGTCTCTTTGATGGTGGTGTCTCTGCTGCGGACTTGAAGGAGGCCGCTCTCCAGTGTGTTCTCACTGATGATCGCAGTGAAGAGCACTCCCATCTCATCATACCTAAAAATGCACCGACACAGAGACGCACATCAGCAAGAGAAACGCTGCAGAAAGAACTGCCTTTGCTTTCATAACAAGATACTTTACTTTGCAGTCAGCTGCTCCACTGATGTTGCTTGAGTGTCGAGATACCCAGGCCACGCAGAGATCTCAGCCTCCATAAACTCCTGCAGCAGCCCTTCACAAACCTACAAGATAATGAAATACTCATTAATCTGGTTTGACTAATGCCAACACAGTGAAGTTCAATTAAGTACGTTAGTGCTGATTCTATCACAGTCACTTAAAAGATCCTTCTCACCCAGCACTTGACACACCCTTTAGACGTGGATTCACAAAGATTTAATCAAGATG